AGAGAAAGAGTCTCTCCCCCTCCCTGCCATCTGCACAGGAAATTGCAAAATGCTCCATGACCAGGATTGACCCCAGTTTATAACTGAGATCCTAAGTGGCATTTTAATATCTTTTAGTGTCAATGTTTTGAAAGAGTTATGGAGGAAGATCTAGTCTCCTCTAACTGATACTTTACTGGAAACAAGCTGACTAGCTACTGAAAGCACTTTCTCTATGAACTGATAGAATTCCTGAAATAAAATGAGTAGTTTGACAGCAATATTTCTAAGGTTCTACCATAGTCTCAAGAGACTTGGGAGAGAATTATTCTAAAATCTGACACTGAGTTTTGTCCTGCTATCTTAATAACATCAAGTTCCATTACCCTGGAGACATATTCTGAAGCAGGGTCAGAAAGCCTCACAGACTTGATGTGGTGCAAGAAGATAGACTATGATCCACTTTACTTATGGAAGTCTATTAGGAAGTCTATTATCATTACCACCTCAGTTTGCTAAGGTAGTGCGATGTGCTCCTGTATCTCAAAATCTAATCATAGTCCAGTATAAAATTTCTGGTTTATATCTCAGCTTAAGTACCAAGCTGTCTTGTAAATATAGTAGTCTCCCATCAATAAGGTTTTCACGGAATAAGCTGTTCCTTAATCCTGTATCACTGAAGCCAAAAAGAATGTGTGTGCTTATCGTTTCTCACTTTCTTTTCTGAACTTAGCCTTGGTTTTTCACAAAGCAACTATCAGCCATCTGGCAGTTAAACTCTTCGGAGTCACATAAGTGAGAAATAGAATTTAGTATTATGCTACCAAGATCCTAGAGACAACAACATAAAACTTACAGAATACTGATTGTCCATACCAGAAGTGCCAGTACAAGCACCTAAGACACTAGTAATGAATGAGTTGCAGTCGTGTTAGAGAGTCGTAAAACTACTTGCAGTGATGGATGAATGAATCAAAAACCCTTAAGTATGATACATTTTATCACAAAGGTAAGAATTCAATATTTATGCATAAGCAAACATAGCAGATCGATGAAAACAATCAGAATACTTCAAGATGCTCTCACGTATTTAGACTTTGTGAAGCTCATGCTATTTCGTCCTGCCAGCTACTAAAACACCTGGTTAATTTCTTTTATATTCACATAGGTAAGGCCATTAGTAATTTTTGTCCTATTATATTCCATACAACACTAATTTGCATTTCTTTATACAGCTGTCCATCCAACATGACAGCACTCAGTAAGTCATATAAAATATTCCTATTTCAAAATGAAGAATCTTCTTCCTTTTGTACTAGCTGCTAAACTTCAAATGACTGGTTCCATGTAACTGCTAAGAGCGGGTCCTTTAATTAAATCATGTCAGGCATCTCACTGGGGCATTAAGAATATATCCAACAGATCTAGGGATTGCTTGGGGCGGGGCGGGGGAGTATAATATGGGAACTGTCATAATTATCAGTCCATCCAGCCCACCAGCCTAACTAACCGGCCCTAGTAGTGGATAAGGCAAGAATTTAAAGAGGGAGATATACACAGTGATCCTTCCCATGGTATTATCTGAGATAAGGGCAATGAGCATTTCAGGGACTTGGAGTTAGATATTACATCCAGATTATAAAACTTAAGAGCAATCTGTGGAATTCTGCTCTATAGAAGCACTTAAATAATTTTTCACAATGAATGCCATCTCTGCCAAAATGTCTTGTGACAATGAGTTCCCCGATATATTCACATATTATGTCAGCTGTCTGTCTGGAATTCTATACAACACTTCCTTGTCCTTGTGAAAAGGAGTGCATATTGTTCTCTGTTCACCTGTTGGTATTATTCATCTGATCCCATAATCTCATAGGTAGGAGAGACTTAGAGCAAGAGTTCCAATTCCCAAATTTTAGTGCCACTGCATAACTTAACACTAGACTTCAGAATACAGCCTAAGGGACTAATTAGGTCTGCTTGTGCTAGCAACTTCTCGCAGGCTACTGATTTTGATGCCTAATTATGTCTTAAATCTAATTTTAGATAATAGAATTTAAAATTTTTGTTGCTATCTCCAAATTGGACTCAATTTGAAGTAAGTAACATACAAGGCATTTTTGCAAAGTATTGTTAATTTTGCCTGTTGCCTAATTTCCTTATTTGTATAATAAGAAAAAACTACACAAACATTTGTGTTATAAATATTTCATGTGCCTTTTTTAGAAGATACCTGAAAGGTTAACATGTAATATGCAATTGAATGAACTGAAAAGGACTTTTCAGCAAGATCTTTATATCCCCTATTTTAAAGTTCCGTGAATACTTCTGTAGATGCACCTTTTTTTATCATTAAGTATACAGGCACATAATTTAGGCTCTTTCATAGACATTTCAATACATTTAAACACATGATACTGTTGAAAAATAATGTTTTCTTGAATGTTGCTGATACTGAAAGTTCACATATAAACAAAACTTGAATTACACTACTTTTGTATCCTGTTGCTACTTCACCACGTGTAACACAATGGAAAAAGATGAGAAGAATTTTTTTTAAACTACAGCACCTGCATGATTTAAACGCCATTCATTTTATTTGGGGTGAGCTAGGAAGCTCAACTTTGCAAGCTGCAGAGGAAGGAATTACACTTACACCTGTGAGGAATGAGTGATTCATGTAAAGAAAATCTAGTGAACATAAGCTTGAAGCAAATGTCATTTATATTGAAATAAAGGAATATATGTAGGGCATGACCATAAACAGGGGAGTGGTGGTAAATAGAAGAAACCATAGTCTTTATGTAACTTCCTGATATGTACAGCTTAGGTAATTCCCTTGATATGTGCAGCTTATGTAGCCTCCTGATATGTGTATGTTAGTTCCTGATATACTAGTGCAAACTAGTGTTGTAGATAAACGCAGAAATGTTGAGAAGATGTATAGCCAAATAAGGGAGCATTATATAAGTAGAATAACAGAGCGCATGCGCAAACAGAGAGGTCGTGGAGTACACTGACGAAGAGGAGCATCTTCCTCCCAACGACCACCTAAAAAAGGATGAAGCATGCGCAGACCGAGGAAGTGGTGACACACTTAGAGAAGGAGTCATCTTCCAAGAAAAAGGCGGAGAAAAGCGAGAAACGAAGCCTAGAGAAGTATAAAGAAAGGAATTGTAAGAAGTGAAGGGGTGCGTCTTGGTGGAACGGAGACTCCCGGCGCACCCAGCGCTGTTTGCTTGCCTCTATTCGTTTAATAAATTGTTAACTTAAATTGGAATCCTGTTTGGGACTAAATCATTTATCACACACCCATGGCAGTCACAGACACATACTTGGAACATGCACACAGCTGACAGAATCTAGCTCTAGGTTAGTTTCCTCATTAGGGTTGGGTTATGCAGCTTCAGGATTTAAAATGCTGAATAGCTTTCAACCAACTGATGAAAGAATCATTTTGTGAGTTCTAGGAACAACTCATAGCACACTAGAGGTTTCAATTCTGTAACTGTTTACGCAATAGTGAGGTATACACTAATTTTATTTCTATACTACGCAATATTGTTAAGGTCATCAGCAAAAACAGCCCTACCAAAATCCTTAACTATTAATACGTTTTACAGCTCAATGTAGACGTGCTATGTTGATGACAGTGGCATTTATGGCTTTTATGGTAGAACTAATGATGTCTAAAGTTTTCCTTGTATTTTTTAATTCATAACATTTTAAAATTTCTTTTTTTTTTATGTGTAATTTTGGAATTACAGCTAGCTACATCATCTTTATCTACTTTATTACAGGGCCAGCTCATCATTAGAAAGAGTATAAACATACACTAGGATTTTGCTGAAGAACCCATGCTTGGTGCGAAAAAGAATCCTAAATTAATTCTCAGTTTCTGTACATGGGTATCTGGTAAACCACAGTCATAACCAAAGGATGAAAATTTTTCAAAAGTCTTCTACTGAATTAAACACTCATTTGCATTTAATCTCTAATGTTTCCATTTATACAAAATACTAGTCAAACACTTTTTAACAAACATTCTTTAGAGTGAAACATTCTCGCAGCTGAGGAAAAAAACAAAAGAGAAAATCTTTACTTTTGATCAGCAATGCTCTGCACACCTATGGCAAATTTCCCATCAACACACTGAGATAAGAACTTCTGATTTCTAACCAGCTCTTTACACAGAGATTCCCCTGGCTTCTAAGGGATTGATGCATACAAAGTGGAAAGACTGCTAAATTTAATTTTATTTCCTACTCATTTCCTTTACCATCTATCCCAACTATCTCTGCAAGAAAGACATCCACCTAAATATTTTCCAGTTTCTGGGACTGATGTTACCCTTGAACACTAACAGGAAGGGGAAAACCTCAGCATGCCACATTGCTTCAGGATATCAAACACACTTGGCAAAACCTCTGGCAGATAAGCTACATAACAAGATACAGTTTGTAAGCAGTCAGAAGTGATACCTTTAGCTCAGGCATGTTTATTATAAGCTGCATAGGTAGTTTAACATCTGGGTCCTTTGTATAGTCCATGGGCACAACGTTTGGTGCCATTTCACGGTATCGGCTGGGCAACCCGTAAACAAGCAGAAAAAAACCAGCCAATAACCAATTTTAAATAACCATTTCCATTCATACAGTAATCAGACAAATTTGTCTTGCAGCTCTAATTATTATTTTTAGTGCACAAGTCTGAGACCACCAAATTCCCACCTTTTTGAAAAAAAGAGGGCTTTGATGCAGTATTGAGCATAACTACTACTAATGCGTAAGTTGAGGTGCGTAACTAAGTAGTGTTTCACACCACCTGTGTGTAACGTTTAAGCACAGTATAGGTACATGCACAGAAGCAGACCTGGATCAATGTACTAACACTGTGAGTATAATCCAGTGATCATATCTCAGTGCAGGTTAGTGGCTGATCTGCTCTATGCAAGAAAACATTGTTTAACAGCTCAAGGAATTTAAAAGCCAAACAATATGCAACTATGATGCTACAGACAACAGTATCCTTGGGAGACCTTACTTCTGCACTACAAAAGCCCTTTTGCTCTGTGCCTCGCTAACACAGCAGATTTAGTCTTACAATTCTAGTACTGGCTGACACCAGCACACATACCATTTCCACTTCATTCCATTTCACATAGTTTTGTTTCATTCTTGGCTCAGCTTATGCATGAAAACCAGTATATTTTAAAGGCAATAGACAAGTTTTTTTCCTGAGAGATGCAAGTCAAATATTCATGCACCTAGTTTCACTCTCTAAAGCTTGCTTATTGTGCTAACAGTATTATGTGATAGTTGGGAGCTGAGAAAGGAAGAGACAAAGGCCATGAAACACATCCATGTTTCTAAAGGTTTAGAAGCTGAATAACAGTGAATCATAAAAACTGTCTCGGTCTCACCTACAACCTAGGAAAAGGCTGCTCAAATGTTTCTACGATGTTACTTCCGATTGTTAACTAACTTAACAAGTGTTAATCCCACCCTTTACTTGCTGTCTCCAAATAGTCCAGCAAATGAGTGCAAAAGCATAGCCCAAAAGCCACGAGAACACAGCCACATGTAAAGAGAACATCAAATTAAGCAGGATGCAAATTTTTAAAACATCTTCGCACATCTATTCACACTGGAATGCTCACTCAAACGAGGAACTGAAACATTTCAAGTAAAACGGGTATCCGATTCAAACTTACCCATGGATCTCAAATTCTGAGCTCTCAAACAAACTACAGACAGAAATTGCCTGGTAAGACATTACCTTGTCTAGAAGCAATTCTAGAGATTAATTCTACTGATTTTGCTGATACTAGTGATATCTCATTCTAGCAGACAAGTATCTAGAATACAAGACTCCATCAAACAACAGCACAAGGATGGAGAGGGAACACCTGTATCCTAGTGCTCAAAGATCAGTCACAGATCAATACATTTTAGCACAAGTGTATGACCTGCCAGTCCTCTGTGAAATACCACATGTGTAAAAAGAATAGGAAGGAAGATTAGGTAGTTGCTGTTCACAGAAAACTTAGAAAATGTCATGTACTATAAAATGTAATTTTTATCGTATGTGAAAATTTTGTCTTACACCTAATTCATAAACGTCTTAGGGCAGAAAGTCATCATTTTGCCAAGTCTTATGTACTAACACAGAGTATTATGGTCTCTCATTCGGTCACATGTACTACTTACCTACATTAAAAAGCTATATTTATTATTTTGTAACTTATTTTCATTTTAACAAAAAATCCTGCCTGCTCACTAGGTACACTAACAATTACAAATAGAGATTAACATGTTTTAAACAGCAGAACATAAACAAACCAGTAATACAGGAAGTAATGTCCAACCAACCCCTTCATCTTTCCAGCTTTAGCTTCAGGAACCCCTCAGTCAGCCCCACAAGCAACAGAGCTATTTCAGATTAATGTGGGTAATGAATTTCAGAAACTAGGAGAAAAAAAAAAATCTACAGGCATCTCTTTTCTCAGCACCTTTTTGGTCATGATTATGATGTGTCACAAAGAACACATGAAATGGAATATAGAAACACGTTTTGTCTGGATCTTCGGAAACTAATGTCTTTACACAGTGCAGCAATACATTGTGCCATACAGGAAATTAAATATCCACTGATCTAAGCATATTTCAGCTGCTTACCACAGCTCACCCTGACATTTCATAAATACTGTGTAATTCAAGATGCAATAGCCATTTCCCACTCCAGCAACTGATTTCCCTGTTGTAAACAGCAGCTACAAAGATGCCCCTACATACAATGGAAAAAACAGCTTAAAAGCACTTAAAGGAATGCAAACCTTTCAAAACAAATATCCATCTAAGGTTTTTGTTTGGGTTTTTGTTGTTTTGGTTTTTTTAAAGCTAGAATGCTGAAATGGTGTTCTAGTCTTCAGGAAAATAAAGCGTTCATCCTTGGAATGGCTTGATTGTTGTGGGCAACATGTCAAAACACAGTAGCTGGCAATGCCTGCTTATTTTAACTGCCAAGATTTTCTTCTCTACTTTCTCTAGTATTAGACTTTTCTGTCTTTGCTCTGTCTCCTCCAACAAGATTATGAATACACACACTGAGTTGAGCATCTTAAAGGAGTTCTCCGTAATGTCTTATAGGAGACATAGATGGGATTGGAACAAAAGGATCTGATTTCTTACCTTATTATATTAATATAAAATGCAAGGTATGGAATTCCTCTTAGTTTTCAATAAAAAACTCTGAACTAACCTCTTGTTTGTAAAAAATAAAAGAGCTGGTCAATTTGACAGAAGTCTAAGAATGCTGTGGGAAAGTATCTGTTACTGAAATACAATCATATCACAAGAATAAACAAACACCAGTTAACGGTAACAAAAGAAACAGCCACAACAGTGTGAATTTAAAGTTACTTTGGTACCAGGAATAACACAGTGCTACAATAGAGACTGAATGCTAAAACAACAAATTAAAAGTATTTATTATGGGTACATAAAGAAGCACTTCATTGTCACCACTGTGACTCTCAGTGATCTGGTACTCGGTACTATTTTGGTAGAAATACAAATTATGATGCTCACCAAATCAAGTGAGAAATTTTGAAACTATATCTACAGAGCAAGCAATATTATTCTAACATGAGAAATAGCCCCGTAGGACACATAAGAGGTTGCAACGCTGTGTCCCAGATGCCGTGAAGTAACAATCTTATTTCAGTGATGGAGGCTGAGAGAGAGAGAGAGAGAGATATCAAGGAGCAGGCACAGCCACAGCTCTTACCAGCTGCTTACTGATACGCCTTTTCTCAGGACAAAGGTTTAATCTCCTTATAACACGCAATACCAGTGCAAAGTAAACCATCATTTCTCACTGCCAGAATTCACCATCTTGTCCACAGAAATGAACACAACCTACTTATACAGAAATTAATCCAAACTCTCCAGTAGCTGAAAGAAGGATCTCGTTTTTCAACTGGAAGATATTGCATTGTTAATTGCAAAGCACTTAGCAGAGCAGTTAGGCTTTGTATTAGATCTTAGAACCGCCTTTCTTGTCCCACAAATATCAAGTAATTTGTACCTTCCAGTACAATGCCAACAAAAGCACTCCTATTTTACTGTGGACAAGGCATTAACTCTAAAGAATATAGTGTGTCCACCTGATGGCACCATGGCAAGTACAGTTACCCAAGACTGATGCATTCTCTCTTACTGTGCTTTTCCATCTACTTCAGACTTGGGGTTTTTGGAATTCCTTCAAGAAAGATGATACTACCCCAGCACATTTACACCTCCATACAATGTAAATACACTAATTTCAGAAAGCATCTCTAAGAAAATATTCAAAGCATCCCTCAAAGGATTAGGTTTTACATGAAAACATTGTCAAAGGACACAGAATAAAAACACATTCCTTCGGTTTGCTGCCACTGACTATAATAAAACTAATTCCTCTTTCCTTTCTGCAAGGAGTTATAGCCAGAAGCATTGAGTTGGACACCACATTTGCTGACAGAACTCAATTTTTAGAATTAAAAAGGGAAATGTATGCCCAGGGATGAGAGGTGGGGAAAAACAACCAAAGCAAGAAACCAAAGCAAGAAAACAACACTCCCTGCTGAACATCTTTACTGTAACATGTATACATCCCTACCTATACATGCTAATATGTGCAGTTTCTAGACCTGTTTTTTATTCAGAAACATCCACAATGCAGACAATATTTATTTTTATAGAAAACTGTTGAGATGGTATGTTCCCAGTCTGTCCATTTGAAGTTAAGTCTTTCTTCTATCTCTGAAGATGAGCAGAAAGGAGTTGCCAGGCTCTAGCAACTAGACAGCCTTCCAGCACCCTGCCTCAGGCTCAGGGTTAGAATTAGCTGGAAGGCAGATGATGAACACAGAAATGTGCAAGTAATTAACAGCAGATTTGAGGGCAGCTCTGGTATCCTGTTCTCCTCCCACTAACTCTTCCATTAATTCACCAAATTGCCCAACGATCTGTAGGTACAAGAGCTTTCCACCTGAGTGGATTTCACACTAGAGCATCCAAATGAGTCTGTAGGAAGTGGCTGTGATCCAACTCCTGCAAACGAAATTACAGCAATAAAATAGTCTTTCACACGCTTTTATCTGCGAGGATCCTACAACTCTATTTGTGATAGCCTTATCAATGAAAAAGGCCATAAGATTTCTCTAGCTTAGGTTCCAAACCAACATACTGTATTTTACACAAGCTCCGTTATCCTTTTTAATAAAACAAAAAACACCACTACCTTTTCCCACTGTAATTTCTTCATGCCGGAAAGTTCTTCAGGGACACCATGCACTGTTTTATGACAAACTAAGCACTGGATTTCCAGTCTCTCAAATATCCAGACTTTGTAGAAAACAGGTAGAAAAGCAGCAGAGCTGCCTCAGCCTCTTACAGGATCTGAGAAAGCCACACATCACAGTGAAACACAGTTCCTTTTGCATGAGTTTCAGCAACACTGTTTACTTGGTACACTGGCTGAGTATTTACTTTTTGGCAAGGAAACTGGATGCATTTCTGATCAATTTTTCTGTAACACAACATGAAGATCAGTAGACATAAGGGTTATTTACACCCATAATCCTCCTGCCTTTACACAACACACCACTACATCAATTTGGCATACCACTGCCACACTTGGACCAAGTACTATGACCAATACTCTGAGTCAGACTCAGTAATCATCTCCCAAATGCTGCACCTATTGGCACTGTACAGATTACTGCCTGTTCTGATACATCTCTCAATAACATTCATTACTAACCATAAATAGAAAATAAACAAACCTCTGTGGTAAAGGCTCTAATATTTCTCCTGTTCTTACAGAAGCAGAAGGCACTTCAGATGACTTGAACACATAGGAGCAGCTGTGACCTAGAGAAGGAAAGGCTTTTCGTCCTCTTACTCAGCATGCCCCTCAACAAGAAGCATATCTGAAAATAACCTAAAGCTGCTTTAGCTGTCCGTCCTAGTCACAGAAACATTCATGTCTTGTCAGGGGAGCAATGTAGGTTTTGCAGTGCTGTCTAAACAAAGGCTAACATTACCATATACAGACCATTATGTATATTCAAAAGCCCAGGACCTGCAACCAGCCTCACTGCCTTCACAGTAGTGACTATAGATCCTGCAGTGGTATTTGTTTCAAAATTTCTTCTGGACGCATGCAGAAGCACTTTCCCATTCCTGGATGTGCCCTCTTTGTTG